ATCATTCAGCAGAAAAAAAAGATCTTTCGCATTCGCATTCGCATTCGCAAAAAAATTTTTTTTTTTTCGTTTTCGCATTCGCTTTCGCTATAACCACTTTCGTTACATCCTTAGTATTTATTATAGTATATATACAAAATATTGGAGATATTTTAACAATTAATACATATATGTATATATATGTGTTATTAGGAACAATTAAAATGTAGTTATTGTTATATATTACATATATATTTTTTATATATAAATATAATATTAATAATATTAATTTATTTATAATTTGGCATTCTTTCAAGTATCAACCATAATAACTACATTTTAATTGTTCCTAATAACAAATATATACAGTCACGAAACTAATTGTCCGGACAACCGACATCTGCCAAATAGAATTGTAATTACGTATTGAAACAGCCCAGATAGAAAGTTATTGTTTTGCTATTGTTTTTTTCTTTGCAAAAAACCAATACCCTTTTCACCATGACCCTTTTCAGGGCCACCACGAAATACCAAAGTCCACCACATTGTATATATCTGTACATAGCAGTAATAAACCTTGTACATAAATACAGAGTCACGACTTCAACCTCTCTCTTGCGATCCCTGGCGCCGCACCGACAGAGGCCGACAGCGACGGCCGATCGGTGACTCATCTACCAGTAGACGTAACCGCATACGCAAAACGCTACAAACTGGTGACCCCGACGTGATCAGCAGTGCCAAGCAAGGGAGAGGTATATAACATGATGAAAGACGACGTCGACGCCACCATCGACCTAAGCGCCGAGGCACAGCAAACGAGCCGCATCACACTCCGGATTCCGCCATTTTGGCCAGAGGAGCCCGAACTATGGTTCGCCCAGCTGGAAGGCCAGTTCGAACTCGCCAGAATCACCGGAGACCACGAACGCTACCTCCACGCGCTCTCTCGCCTGGAACCTGGCCAGGCGAAGGAAGTAAAAGACATTATCGTGAGCCCGCCAAGCGGTCAAAAGTACGAAGCTTTGAAAGCAGCCTTGATACAGCGGCTGACCGACTCACAAGAGAACCGCATCAGGAAGCTGATAGAAACCGAGGAGATGGGCGACCGAAAACCATCACAGTTCCTCAGGCACCTCTCCACCCTGGCTGGGACCACAGTGTCAGAGAGGCTCCTACGCACTCTTTGGCTGGGACGCCTGCCGACGCACATACAAGCCATCTTGGCTACACGAGCAGAGGATCCGCTGAGCAGCGTAGCTGACCAGGCCGACCGCATCCATGAGATTGGCAATAAAGCGATAGTCCTGGCGACAGCAGCCCCGTCAGCACCAACACCCCCGACGGACCCCTTGGACGAGCTACGAGGCCAGTTAGCAACTTTAACGACGCAGGTGGGCCTTCTCGCACATGCCATGCACCAACAGCAGAAGACTATAAGAAACCGTAGCAGATCCAGGAGCCGGTCACGGAACAACGAACGAGACAACCCAGGCACGTGCTTCTACCACCGACGCTTCGGGACAAAGGCACGCAACTGCGAACCACCCTGCGACTTCAAGAAGTCGGAAAACGAGCCGGGCACGCACTGACGGCGGCCAGTGCAACTTGCCCCCAACCCTGCCGCCTCTATGTCACCGACAGGACCACAAGGCAACGCTTTCTCGTCGATACAGGGTCAGACGTCAGCATTTATCCGGTAACAGCAACTAGGAAACGCGGACCACCAGCACCGTATCAGCTATACGCAGCAAACGGGACAGTGATACCGACCTACGGCATAATCACACTGCAGCCCGACCTAGGCCTCAGGCGGAACTTCACATGGAGATTCGTGTTAGCTCGAACCACTCAGCCAATCCTGAGGTCCGATTTCTTGGCATACTACAATCTCCTGCCGGACATGAGAAGGAGGAGATTGATCGACAGCGAGACAGGCCTAGACATAAGGGGAACGGCGAGCATGTCCAGCACCCCATCAGTGAAAACAGTGACTACCTCTACGGAGTACCACAAAATCTTGGCGGAATATCCGGGGCTCACGCGGATAACGGGTCAACAACAGGCAACCAAGCACGAGACCGTGCATTACCTGCAGACAACGCCGGGACGTCCGGAGTCCTGCAGACCCAGAAGACTCCCGCCGGACAAACTCAAAGCGGCAAAAATGGAGTTCGGCATACTCTTGCAGGAAGGCGTCATCCAGCCTTCCAAGAGTCCTTGGGCATCCCCGCTACACATGGTGCCAAAAAAGGACGACACCTGGCGACCATGCGGCGACTACCGACGCCTAAACGCCCGAACAGTAGCTGATCGGTACCCGATACCGCATCTCGAGGACTTCGCGCAGACGCTCAGTGGCAAAGCCATCTTCTCTACACTGGATTTGGTACGGGCTTACAACCAGATCCCGATAAACCCGGAAGACGTGCCAAAAACAGCCATCACCACGCCGTTTGGTCTATACGAATTCAAGTACATGCCGTTCGGCTTGCGCAACGCAGCTCAGACCTTCCAGCGATTTATAAACGAGGTCCTACAGGGCCTGGATTACTGTTACGCCTACATCGACGATATCCTGATAGCCTCTACAACACCGCAGGAGCACGGCAAGCATCTACGGGAAGTATGTGAACGTCTCGACAAGTACGGCATCCGCATAAATGCAGCCAAATGCGTCCTGGAGAAAACGCAGATCAAGTTCCTGGGATATGACGTAACCGACAAGGGTACCAAGCCCCCGCAGGAAAAGGTCCAAGCAATACAAGACTTCCCGCAACCACAGACGGTGAAGCAACTACGACAGTTCCTGGGTATGATCAACTTCTACCGGAGGTTCATACCAGGGGCTGCACAAGCGCAGTCCACACTCAACGACGCCTTGAAAGGCAAAGTCAAAGGCAAAGTACCAGTAGAGTAGACACCCGAACTAGTAAAAGCCTTCACTCTAGTCAAGGAGAGCCTGGCCCAGGCTACCATGCTGGAACACCCCCGAGTAACGGCCGCGTTACGACTAGTAACGGACGCATCCGACACGGCCATAGGGGCCGCGTTGCAGCAGCATAGCAAGGACGAGTGGAGACCATTAGCTTTCCTGAGCAAGAAGCTCAACAACGCCCAGAGGAAATACAGTCCGTACGACCGCGAACTGCTAGCAGTATACACGGCAGTGAGATACTTCCGACATATGCTGGAAGGCCGAAGCTTCACAATCTTCACGGATCACAAGCCGCTAACCTACGCCTTCAAACAAGATCCGCTGAAAAGCTCACCACGCCAAGCACGCCATCTCGAATTCATCGGGCAATTCTCCACGGACATACAACACATCTCGGGTGAAGACAACGTCGTAGCAGACGCCCTGTCACGGGTCGAGCAAATCCAGAAAGCGATCGACTTTGAGCAGCTAGCCAAGGCGCAGGAAAGTGACGACCAACTCAGGAGCTACCTGGAGGAACCACAGAGCCTGCAATTGGAGAAAGTGCGAATTCCAGGGACAGGAATATACCTGTACTGCGACGTAAGCACGAAGACGCCCAGGCCTTTCCTCACGGAAGAGTTCCGTTACCAAGCATACCAATCTCTGCACGACCTGGCACACCCAGGGATCAAAGCCACAGCAAGATTGGTGTCCGAAAGATTCATATGGCCGAATATGATTAAGGAATGCCAAACATGGGCCAGGGCCTGCAATCCATGCCAAAAAGCGAAGATAAGCCGACACAACAGCGCGCCGCTGGGCAAGTTCACGGGCCCAACACAACGTTTCGAGCACATACACGTCGACATAGTAGGACCATTACCTAGCTCGAAAGGCTACAAGTATTGCCTCACTGTTGTCGACAGATACACTCGCTGGCCGGAAGCCATCCCGGTGAGCAACATTACAGCAGAGACAATGGCACGGAAGCTGTTTGAAAACTGGATAGCCAGGTTCGGAACACCCCTCCGAATTACCACGGACCAGGGGCGCCAATTCGAAGCGGACCTCTTCAAACAACTCACCACCATCACTGGGTCCACGCACCTACGGACCAACGCCTATCACCCTCAGGCGAACGGAATGGTAGAGCGTTTTCACCGCACGCTGAAAGCAGCCATCAAGAGCCACCAGACGGAAAGGTGGACTGAAGTCCTCCCCGTCATCCTGATGGGACTAAGAGCCGCCTGGCGAGATGACCTAGAGGCCACGTCTGCAGAACTGGTCCTCGGGGAGCCCATCAGATTACCGGGACAATTCCTGAGCGACAGTAGCGACGCCAAGCAGACAGACAGCGAGTACCTGCAATCACTGTGAAAGACGATGCAGCAGCTCCGACCACGGCTGCGCAAGCACGGCACCAAACCAGCCTTCATATTCAAGGACTTAGAGAATGCTAAAAGCGTATTCCTAAGACACGACGCTCCAAGAGGCGCACTCCAAGCACCATATGACGGCCCATACGAAGTATTAGAGCGACAGGAGAAAACATACAAGATCCGCGTAAAAGGACAGCCAATGAACGTGTCCATAGACCGCCTGAAACCAGCGTACACGATCGAGGACGCCACGGAGCAAGCCAGCCATGCGGAAACACAGCTCACCACAACAACCTGCAAGCGGGCAACTAAACCAAGGGTGCGCTTCGCACGATAACACGCCAACTCCGTTACTACCAAGGGGGCCCTGTGGCGACTCTTATCAGTCGCACTAACGAAAACCCACCGAGCAGCTACTTTTCGTCAAGCGCTCGGTGGGAATATCCAAGCGCCTGTAGCACTCGACCATACAGGTGCCCGTAGCACGCGACCACGCGCAAGGGCTGCGCGACGCGCAACTACCACGGTACGCCCACCAGAGGGCTAGCGCCGATAATGTTATCGCGTACGAAGAATCGGTCCAGAACCCTTATAGATAAGGCGCCGAACCGATCAACCGAGACCGAGCTGTGGCATGCAGGGCTATACCTCCCAGCAGTTTTTTACCTCAGCTACGGTCTCCTAACAAAGCGCAGCCATTGCAGCTACAGCCGTCGCCGCAGCCTCATCAGCAGCAGCCACCTCAGCCTCCGCCGCAGCCTCCGCCGCAGCCTCCGCCGCAGCAGCCGCCGCAGCCGCAGCGGCCGCAGCAACCAGCGCAGCCTCCACAGCAGAGGCCATCACAGCCTCCGCAACGGCAGACACCGCAGCCGCCGCAGCAGCCAGCGCAGCCTCCACAGCAGAGGCCATCAGCCCCCACAGCAAAGATCATCACAGCCTCCGCAGCGGCAGACACCGCAGCCTCCGCAGCAGCAGCCGCCGCAGCTGCAGCAGCCACAGCAGCCAGCGCAGCCTCCACAACAGAGGCCATCACAGCCTCCGCAGCAGCAGACGCCGTAGCCTCCGCAGCAGCAGCCGCCGCAGCCGCAGCAGCCACAGCAGCCAGTGCAGCCTCCACCGCAGAGGCCATTACAGCCTTCGCAGCAGCAGCCGCAGCCCCCAGCCCGCCAGAGAGGGACCTCGCGTATCCAGCGTCTGCGCCAGCAGCTCCTGCGTCGCCGCCAAATACAAACAGCGGCAACAGTCCCTCTAAGTGAGGGGGCAAACCAAACGGCCCTTTTCAGGGCCACCACGAAATACCAAAGTCCACCACATTGTATATATCTGTACATAGCAGTAATAAACCTTGTACATAAATACAGAGTCACGACTTCAACCTCTCTCTTGCGATCCCTGGCGCCGCACCGACAGAGGCCGACAGCGACGGCCGATCGGTGACTCATCTACCAGTAGCGGGTAGACGTAACCGCATACGCAAAACGCTACATTAAGAATCGTCCGTTATTGTTGGCTTAATCCAGGGTTTAATTTTATCTGGAGATAAGATAGTATTCAAATTTCTAGAAGTTAAGTTAAATCCGGGAACGTCTTTGACTACGTAGCGATTATTATTTAAGATTTTGTCAATCATGTATGGCCCTTTAAAAGGGGGTTTTAGTTTTCGACTCTCGCCTGGTTTAAATTGTAAATCGCGAACTAAAACGAGATCACCAACTTAATATTGAGAAGGTTTTTTATGCCATTTATCGTAATATGACTTGTTGTATTCTTTTAATTTATCACTGGTTGTGATTGCTATTTCTTGAGATTTCTTTCTTTCTTTTTCAATATCTTTATCAATATTAATTAAAATGTCAATTTTATCAGATAATACAACATCTGAATGATTTATTTGTTCATAACCCAACAATAACTTAGATGGTGTGGACTTAATGGTAGAATGATGAGTATTATTTAATACATATTGCACGGTACTAACGTATGTTTTCCACATATTTGGTTCTTGGACTAGCTTCTTTAAAGAAGATTTAATGAAACGATTTACGCGTTCTGCTATACCGTTAGCCCAAGGTGATGCCGTTGCAACCTTGCGGTGATATATGTGTTTAGCTTCTAAAAAAGCTTTGAAATCATTTGCCGTAAAGGCCGATCCTCTATCAGAGACCAATTCTTTAGGCTTACCAAACATATTAAAAAGAGATTCTAAAAATTTGCAAACTTCTTCAGTATTAGTTGTTTTAGTTGGATGTAGCCATGAAAAACGAGTAAAAGCATCTACTACTATTAATATATATTTAAATTTATCTTTAGTCTCTGGTAACGGACCGAAATGATCTATGTGTAATATTTCGCACGAAGTGGTTGCCGGTGGCACTAATTGTATTTCGCCTTCGCGGGTATTAGAAGATATGTCTGCTGTTAGACACGTTAAGCAATTAGCTATATAATCGTGGATTCTTTTCCTCATAGAGGGGAACCAGAAAGAACTGTAAATGCCTTGATAAACCTTTTCCGCGCCGCAATGGGCCATATCGTCATGGTGTACATGAATTATATTATTAACCATGGTTTCTGGTATTACAAATCTAGATCTATCTGTTCCTTTACGAAATATTAACCCATCTATTAATTCAAATTTTTCATTATTAGTAAATTCTAATTCTTATGCCAATGTTTTAAGTTTATTATCTTGTAATTGACGGAATTCTAACTCCCTTTCTATAGGTAAAGAATTTACAAGACAAATTTTGCGACTCAGCACATCGACGTGAGCCATACGCTTTTGTGTTCTATGCTCGGTTTTAAATTTGTATTCTTGTAACTTAAGTGTCCACCTGGCTATACGCGGGTTAAGATTGGCTTTGTTTACAGCATGTACTAGGGCATTACAGTCAGTGACTACTACAAATTTAATATCATAAAGATATATGTGGAAACGTTCAATAGCACGAACCACTGCTAACATTTCTAGCTCGAAGCTGTGATAGTTAGCTTCTGATTTATTTGTCGCCTGACTAAAATAAGCTATCGGTGCAAAAGAATTATCCTTCTGCCTCTGAAAAAGGATTGCTCCTAGTCCATGACTGCTAGCGTCCGTATGAAGTTTTGTTTCAGCCGCAGGGTTATATAGTTTTAAAAGAGGTTTCGTAATTAATTTTTCTTTTAGATTTTCAAAAGCTTGTATACATTGGTCATCGAAAACAAAATCGGCTGATTTTTTAAGTAAAGAACGTAGAGGTTTTGTAATTAATGCGTAATTAAGTACAAATTTTCTAAAATAATTTGTCACTCCTAAAAAGGCTTGTACATCTCGAATATTTTTCGGTTGAGGAAATTTTGAAATAGCTTCTGTGTGTCTACCACTTAAAGTGATATTATTCTCTGATATAATATAACCTAAGTATTCTATGCTTTTCTTTAAGAAATGACATTTTTCATAATGAAACTATGTTTTTTGAGTTCTACCAAAACTTCAAATAAAGTATTCAAATTAGATTCTATGGAATTTGATGCAATTAAAATATCGTCAATATAAACGATGATTTTATTTTCTTTTATAAGTAGTTGTAAAATTTGTACTAACCGTTTTTGGAATTCTGCAGGTGCCTCACAGAATCCGAAGGGTAATCTTGTGTACTCAAATTGCCCTTCTGGGGTGGCGAATGAAAAAAATTTAGTACAGTCAGGGTGGACTTTAATATGATGAAAACCATCTTTAAGGTCCAACAAAGTAAATACAGACTTGTCACCTAAAGTTGCTATACAATCCTCTATCAGCGGGAAGGGGTACTTTTGCTTGATTACTTTACTATTCAAAGGTCTGAGATCAACACATAAACGCATTGTGCCATTACGTTTTCTAACAGGTACAACTCTAGCGCAAAAAGGTGATGTACTTGGTTTAATAATATCTCTATCTAGAAGATCGTCAGTTATTTTGCGTAATTGCATTTTTTCTGCCCATGCAAATTTACGTGGTGCATAAGCATAAGGGATTTCGTCTCTGAGATAGACTTTCACGTTGTAATCATCTTTAATTATTTCACAATTAAGGTTGTCTACTTTGCGTAACAATTCTTTTAAAGATTTTAAATGTTTAACATCATAATCTATTGAGATGTTATCAATAAAATCGTCAAACTTATTGGAAACGGAACATGTTGTTACTAACTGATCTGAGAATGGAAATATATCAACATATTCATTTTTCTTTTCTGATGAATTTATAAAAGTAAATGTAATATCTTCTTTTTTAAAGAAATCACGTCCGATAATTATATTATTAGCTGTAGTATTATCCTCCAGAACGTGAAATTCTATGTTCGATGGTAGTTGATCAAAACCAATTTTAGTGTTGACGCAACCTAAAACTTTTACCGGAGTGTCATTAATTGCTACATAATCTTGTGGTACAGATTTCAAACGTATTTTTGTTTCATCAAAGAAAGTTTTAAAAATTTTGGATTTTAAAAAAGAGATCGGACTTCCTGTGTCCGCTAAAGCGCTAATTTTACATGGAATTTCGTTAAGCGAATTTATATTCAAATAACAGTTATCACTTACGACTTGTTTACCAATAGCTGAACTGACAAACGATACTTGTTTATTATTGTTTTCTGCGGGACTGTTGTGCTCCTCTTGTTTCTCTAGGACTGCTTGTATCGTCTCATTGCCCGCGGTCGAAGGTTCCTTCTTTTTCAATTTAGGGCAGTTGGATTTGATATGTCCGTTCTCCTGGCAGTAAAAACATTAAAATTCTTCGATGCGACAAAACTTTGCAATGTGGCCTTTCCTACCACATTTAGTACATGATAATTCCTTGGCATCCTTGGATTTGAAGTCCTTTGTCTTCGAGTTAAATTCTTTTTTGTCTTCCGCGTCGAAAAAAGTGTCTATTAAAAAATAACAATTTAAAAAAATAACAATTTAAATATTTGTCTATTAAAAATTTCATTTCTTTGAGAAATTGATCCACTGTGTCGACTTTGAGCATTGCAGCTGAAAGCCTCAAAGTACGTTCGACAATTCCTCCAATTAATAATTGACTGGCTTCCTTAGTGGGGATTGGCAAACCATTCATGAGAGCCATTTTGTCAATAGCGTATTCATGGAATGTTTCGTTATGTTGATTCCACTTTCTTGCTTCTATTTTTTTCATAGCAACAGTAAACGGAATTTGATGTTCAAACATATGGGTGATTGCTGTACGAAATTCAGACCAGGACTCTATTGCTGATCCCATTTGCAAATCGTACCATTTTTTAGCTTGTTTTCTCAACTTACTGGATGCTGTAAGCAATATTAAATCCTGTGGAGCTCTATGTACTCGAGCTATTTTTTCCACTCTTTGCAACCAAACCTTAATATCTTCAGTCTCAGAGTCATTGAATTCTGGAATCTGAGAAGAGAGCAATGATATTACATTAACAGACGGTGCTATGCTTATCGTAGTCGGATTGGGAGAGCTGACATTAACTGAATGTGCCGGATTAACTTTGGATTCCGGGGTCATGTTCTCACATCTGAATGGCATCGTAGCGTCATTATTTGTTAGTGACAGTTGTAAAATTTGTTGTAATACTTGCTGTTGCTGTTGCATTTGTAATATTAGCGCCGACAATACTCAGGCGTTACAGTTGCCGATTGATTCGCTTCTTGTCTTCTTTCCTGCACGCTTTGTCTGATGGAGCGTGATTCTGCGCCAGAGAAATAAGCATTTCCCTGCCTTAACTCCTCTAGTGGGAAATCTATGGTTCTTTCAAAGTGTGATAGTAATCTTTCTATCATACTTTCTTTACTTTCGTTGTTACCTGAAGCTGGTATTTCACAGCTTCTGCCTGTAACTCCTCCAACGACATTGTGTCGAGGCGAGCACGTTCCATTTTCTAACCTTGTGTGGTCAACTATTTCCACACACACAAAAAAAAAATTTGAGCCTTTACTAGCACCGGTGACTCGAAAATCTGATCGTTGGGAATACGAGGTAGTTATCCCACTTCTGATGTTGTGAGAGATGTGCTTATGAGACGACCAAAAAAAACAATAATGGCTGAAACTGTTATTATTTCAACCATGAAAACACGGATTCGCTTACTGCGACCTTCCTCCTTCTTCTCTAGATGGTTCCAAAGAGTGCAAGGTCCATAAATAACAAATAGTCTCGATTCAATTGAACCAACGTAATCTATTTTCAAATCTTTTAGATAAACTAAGCTTGCTCTTGCTAAGCTTCGACTTTGTACAACGACGTCTCGCA